GTTCAACTCTTGTAACTAAACAGCTGATTGATGGTTACCAAAGGCCAAAGGGTGGGTGGAGGGGAAGTAGGAGAAAAGAAGTATGTTGAGTAAAGGGGGACAAAGTTTTAAACAGGTGCAATAAGTTTTAGTGACCTGTTGTGCAGAATGGGAATTGTAATAAATAATAAGATGTTGTAAAAAACAAAAAGGTGGAAATGCAATCATAGTAGGTAGGGCAAAGAAAAGAGAAAAGAAATGAAAAAAAAAAAGAGAGAGAGAGAGAGAGAGAGAGAGAGAAGCATTCAAAAGAAAAAAGACAGCACCAACTGACCACTCATGGAAAGCCATGATCAGAAAAAGCAGAAAATTTGTATCTCATCACAGAAGAATTTATTCACAAAAACAAAAAAAGAGTATTTGGATGGAACCAAAGTATGCTTCCAAATGGTCCGTTTGGTGGCCAAGGAGGCAAGGCAATTTACCAATACTGAATCCATTACATGTTTTATTGCAGCAGCTTAAGAACCTTGACCCGAGAAAATAAAGTTGAGACGATTCGTCTTTTGGAAAAAAACAGTTGACTGAAGAGCTGAAAACATTGAGCAACACAACAAAAACAAGATAAATAATGGCAAATGAATTTCCTTGGCTCTTTAAGTTGACAGGCATTACTAGTATTGTTCATTTTTGCATTTTGGGCAGCCAGCGTGAAGGTGGAAGTAACTACAGAGTTAGCCTTGTATGCTTTCTATGAAACAATGATAGGCAACGTACTAGACCTTTTGGGCTGTTATAAAAGCTTACTAGACTAGGTGGCCCATAAACAACAGACAGACACTTATTTCTCACAGTGCTGGTTGCTGCATTTATTTTTCATAGTTCCAGATGCTGACAACTGCAAGACCAAGGAGGTGATAAAACTTGGCAAACACAGAGTGTGATCTTCCCGGTTCACAGTGGATCTCGCCGTGTTCTCACACAGTGGAAGAGACGTGGGAACTCTCTGGGGTGTCTTCATAAGGGTGCAAATTCCATTCATGCGGGCTCTGGTCTTATGACTTCACCGCCCCCCAAAGGTCCCACCTTGAGGTGTCATCAAATTAAGGATCATGTGAATTTGGGGGTGACAAATATTTCATCTATAGCAGGTGAGAATACCTTTAAACAAGCTGGACAACACAAATTTAGTACAATCTGAAGTGGAATATGCTAAGACAAGCAAGAAATTGTATTAAAAATGGATGTACAACACTGACAGTTTACAAGCCACTTGAAAATATGTGGTGCTTAAAGCCAACAGCTGTTCACTGTATTTTAGTTATCTGCAGGCACTATGCAGAAAATATTTGTGCTTAACATCTGCTTCTATAACAATACCATTAATTGTGAACTTTACTTACTTTTATGAACTTAAACATCATCAGTTCCAAAAACCTTAATCAAAATATCAGTTGAATACCCTACTTACCCTACCATACAGGAGTTTGATGGTATTTCATTTGAATGTTTTTGTCCCCTCCAAAATTCATTTTGAGACTCAAACCTCAGTATGACAGTATTATGTGGCAGGCGACCAGACCATCAAGGTGGAGTCTTCATAAATAGGATTAGCCACCTTACACTAGGGCTGAAGGGAAAAACCTAGCTAGTCCCCTTGCTCGTCCATCTGCCAGGTGAGGACACAGCATTCAACACACTGTTGTGAAAGGAGAGAGCAGCCTTCACCAGACTAACAACCTACTGTGCCTTGATCTTGGACTTTCCAGCCTCAGCTGTCACCAATAAATATATGCTGTTTACGAATGACTACATGTTAAGGCAATTTGTTATAGCAGCAAAGAGACTACAGCAGAAATTGGTAAGCAGAGAAGAGTGTTGCTATGGGAAACACTGGAAAATACAGAACTATCTTTAAAATTGGTCATGGGGGAAGAGGCTGGAAAAATATTAAGGAACACTTTGGAGAAACCCTGTATCGCCACGAACAGGCCATAAGGATGATTCTCATGAGGACTCTGAAAAAGAGAGCTGTAGCCACAGCCTCCATCTTCTTAGACATTATCTAAATGGTGTGACCAGAAGTCTGGTAGAAATATAGCCAGTGCCAGCATCATCCTGATACCCAAACCTGTCAGAGATACAATGAAAAAAGAAGACTTCAGGCCAAAATCCCTCATGAACACCAACATAAAAATCTTCAATAAAATATGGCAAGCTAAATCCGGCAGTGCATCAAAAAGCTTATCCACTACAATCAAGGCAGCTTCATTCTCAGGATGTAAGGTTGATTCAACATACTCAAATCAAATAATGTAATTCATCACATACACAGTACAAACAAAGGCAAAAACCACATGATTACCTCGTCAATGAAATTCAACATCCCTTCACGGTAGTTTGAAAATCTGCACAAGTCAAGGATGCCCTCTCTTACCACTCCTATTCAACACAGTGTTGGAAGTTCTGGCCAGGGCAATCAGGCAAGAGAAAGAAATGAAGGGTGTTCAAACAGGAAGAGAGAAAATCAAATTGTCTCACAGTCTCAGCCCAAAAGCTTCTGAAGTGAATAAGCAACTTCAGCAAAGTCTCAGGATACAAAATCAATCAATTGCAAAAATTCCAAGCATTCTTATGCATCAACAAAATCACCAATGAACTTCCATTCACGACTGCTAAAAAGAGAATAAAATACCTAGGATAATGGCTAACAAGGAAAGTGAAGGACCACTCCAAAGAGAACTACAAACCACTGCTCAAGGAAATGAGAAGGGACACAAACAAATGGAAAATAATTCCATGCTCATGAATAGGAAGAATCAATATCGTGATTCTTACTGGGCATACACTCGAAGGAATAGAAATTATTCTTTTATACAGACACATGCACCCCTGTGTTCACTGTGGCACTATTCACATGAGCAAACACATGGAATCAACCCAAATGCCCAGCAATGATAGACTGGATAAATAAAAAGTGGTACATACATAATACGGAATACTACACAGCAATAAAAAGGCATGAGATCGTGTCCTTTAGAGGGAGGTGGATGAACCTGGAAGCCGTTATCCTCAGCTAACTCATGCAGGAATAGAAAATCAACCACCACATGTTCTTACAAGTGGGAGGTGAATGTTAAGAACACATGAACACATGGGTGGCGGGGTGGGGGGTAACAACACACACGGGGACCTGTCAGTGCCAGGCGAGTTCTCGCGTCAGGGAGGGAAAGCATCAGGGAGAATAGCTAATGCACGCAGGGCTTAATGCCTAGGTGATGGGATGATGTGCCACCATGGCACACGTTTACCTATGTTAACAAATGTGCATATCCTGCACAAGTACCCCAAAAGTTAAAAGTTGAAGGTTAAAAAACAAGGTTGTATTCAGAGAAATAGACATTTTAAAAGAAAGAACACCGGTTAATAGTGTGCACTATACTTGAAATTACAAGGCATTACAAGTCAAAACATATTCTTTTGATGAGAAAAAAATTAATCATTTTAAGAGTTACTCACTATGACTTCGACCATACTTAACAAACTATCATTGTTTTCCAAATGCTTCTACTGGTCCCTCTGGTGTGTTTTCACGTTTTTTCATCTCCTAAATCCTGTTTTCTTTGAGAAAAATAATTAACAAGCTGAGAAAAATAGGATCTTTAAAGTATATCATGGCATTAAAAGTTTATATTTAGGTACCTGTATATGTGTTATTTCAACTGATTTGTCCACCTTTTCCACAGCACCACAAGTTTTTGGAGGACAGAAATGTTTACCTATTCTTTGAGAGGCTTTCAGAGAATAGGCCTCTAGCAATGCACCTTGTGAAGTGGGCACAGTGGAATTTATTAACTCCATTGATTGAATCCTGTGTTACAAGGAAAATGTACACCATTTTTCTTACTGGCTTATCAGAATGACAGCTCTGCCAGCTGTACATCATTATCTTAAGGATGAATGAAAACAGGTAAGAGAATGTATTGAACTTCTTGGGTTTTGGAACTTCTTTTCAAATGGTTCCTCAACAATGTGTGTGGCGGGGGGTGTGGGTGAGTGTGTGAGAGAGTGAGACAGAGGGGTGACAGAGAGAGAGAAAGAGAAAGAGAGAGAGAGAGAGGGAGGGAGGGAGAGAGAGAGACACACACACAGAGAGAGAAGTGAGAGAGGAGACTAAATGTGGCACAAAACATTAACTGGTACACGTATGTGAAGGACATAGAGATGTTCATTGTCCTGTCCAGATTTTGAAATCTTGAAACTTCTCAAAATAAAAAAACTAGGTGAAGAAAAAAATCTAATGGCATGTTAGATCAGTGAAGAGTATCTTACTGGAAACTGGAGAAAGGCCATCACTGTTATAAAGTGGCACTAAACTTGACTGAGTTTTGTGTCCTAGTGTTTCTGGAAGGCAGAAATAAGCAGTGATGAAACTAGGACATGTGGAACAAGAGGTACCTAAGCAAAGGGTTAAGGATGTGTCATGGTTCCCTTGATTGCTTACAGTAAAATGTGAAGAGAAACAAATTTAAGATACAATTGGTAATTTAAAGAGAAGCGGAACATAAAAGATTTGGAAAATTATCAGCCAGGCCATGTTAAGAATGAAAAGGCATGTTTAGGAGAGAATAGGTGTGTGGCCACGGGAACATTTCTTAAGGCTAGTAGGCATAGTGGAGTCAGCTGCTATTCACCAGGACAACCAAAGAATTCCCGTAAGACATTTTGAAGTTCTTTGGTGATGTCACACCCATCACAGGCCCAGAGTGTTAGTTAGGGCCTTGAAAGTAGATGCTTTTAAAGGAGAGGCCCAGGGTGCCCTTGGAAACTGGGGCTCACTGCACAGTACCACCCCGAATCTTGATTTCCTGAATTCTGGGGCAGCATTCCTTGGCTCTGTCAGCTGTGGCTGAAGTAGGCCTCGGTATGGTGCAGGTTTTGTCTCCAGAAGTTCATGCTGTATACATTTACAGTGTAAACTGTGAGTAATATATTTAAGTTTATAAATTGGCCAGTCTGAGATACATATATATATATATATATATATATATATATATATATATATATATATATATTTTTTTTTTTTTTTGCCCTCACAGCAGAAGAGGCAAAGACAGGTGGCTTGCCAGTGGTAAAGTTTTACTGCCGTTTTTTTAGACCAAGAATTATTTTTTGTTTTCTCTGAATTAGCATTATCTCAGAGAAAACTGAATGGCCTATGAAATTAGGTTTCTGCAACAGATTTGATCATGTTCCTTAATGAACATATAACTAAACTCTAATCACAAGGTAAATTCTCACCTAGTGCAAAAACTTAGTGCCGCATCCTTGTGTATAGTTTTAACAGTTTCAGAACTGGCCCTTCAAGTCAAATCAATACAGGCCTAATTAGTGGAGGCAACCTAAGAAAGATGTACAACTGTCCTGACTTTGGATTGCCTGCTTACTGTGAAGTATGGGAACAATTTTTGACTCAGAACCTTAGTGAGATTTTTGTAGGCAGAGGTTCTGATCAATGCTTCATCAGAATTTTCCATTACCAATATCAGAGAATTTGTAATGGCTTGAGAATCATGATCTTTTCCTCATATTTAGGGAGGAGGAGAAAAAACACAGAGGTTTAGAAAACAATTCTCATGTTTAGATAAAATATCTTGGGATTTTTCTCTTTATTTTACCTGGTTTCTATGGTATAGTAAAGTAAAGTACATTGTGTTTTGACAGGTGAAGAAATTTCTACTCTACCGGGGTCATCACCAAGCATAGCTTTGCTACCGTGAAAGCTAATTATAGCTCCCTATGACAGTATCAAATACAGAAAAAGGTAAAAAGCATAGACAATAGTGAAGGTAGTACGATTACAGGCATGAGAAAACTGTTAAGGGAAATCATGTGATCTACACTGACTGAAGTCAGCAGGCATTAGGTGATAAAGTATACAAGATTCAATCCAGGGTGACAGAACGTGTTCACTGAAAGCGATTAAGAAAAGCATAACAACATCTATATGAGTAGATCACCCAGAGAGACACAAAACAAGAACCATAAATTGATTAATGGTATCATACTGGTTTCACCTGAAATATTTACATATCAATCTCACTGAATTCTTACAACAAATGACTTAGCTTAGCTATTTTATTGACCATTAGAGAGAACTGAAAACACTGAGGGAGAAAACTTGTTTCCGTTCAACTCAATCAGATTAAGGATAAGAAAGCAACTGGATGCTGGAAACAGAGGCAGGGACTTGAGCTGCTCAAACAGTTTGAAAAAGAATAAAGAAGAGACTAATCTGTCTACCCTATTCTAAGACTCACTATTAAGTGACTGTAACTGACACTGTGATGTGACCAAAGGGGACCGACTCATAGTTCAATAAGGCAACACAACAAATAATCCAGTATTGGCACATGTCACTCTGGCCAACAGATTTTCAACAAAAAGCACAAGGCAGTTAAGTGTAGGACAGCTAAATCTTCTTTAGCTGGTGCTGGGTCAACTGGACATCCTTTGAGAAAACAATCACCTCGGCCTACATCTCATGTAAATTTTGTAAATAAAAGCTACCCTTCCGTACTCCCCCCAAAAAGATTATTAAAAATTATGTTGATCCATGCTACCGTTGTGGTGTTTTCCAACCTCAATCCTTCACTCTTCTACTTTAAAAAGTTCAAATCATATGCATAGTCTCCAAATCCATTCATTGTTCTATTTTTAAGAAAGGAAACGAACTTAAAAATAGACGACAGGTAGAGTGATGAAATTCTTCTTTTACTCTATTCTTCTTGGTCTTTACAGGTAATTACACCATACACTATCTTCTTTTACAATAAGACCCAGGGGAGAAAAGAAAAGGAGGTAGGATGAAGGTACAAGTTTTGAAGCACCAAAATATTTTAAAAAAAAAAGAACAAAAAAAAAAAAAAAAAAAAAAAAAAAAAAGAAAGAAAGAAAAGAAAAGAAAAACAAGTACAGAAACAGAGGATGGGGGAGTGGCAAGGGATGGGGTGTGGGGTCGGGGGCCAGTAAAAAATAAAGGTATGCACTTTGGCCTTTCTGGAGATTTATTTGCCCCTATTCAGACTAGAATGAAACTGGCTTGGAAAACCACTTTCATATGCTATCAGGAATGCTGCTGTCAAGACACTTCTGGCCATCAGTACATGGACTTTAAGAACCAAGCTTTAAACAATCACTCCAGGAGTGAGGATATCAAAAATTGGCGGTGAAAAATTCTAGGTAGGAAATAAACTCCTTCTGAGGTACAGGTGTGGAGGCAGTGGGATTTAAGAAACAAACACACAAAAACAACCACAGACAACCTTTGGTGCTACCGTCACAACTCTTGCTGATGAGAGAAGGGGCACCGTAGCAAAGGCATTAAAGAAGGACAAGAGTCTGAGGAGCCTGAATCCTTGCGTTATAAGCTATTTTGGTTTCCTTTCGAGAAGGGGCTGTGGTTTGTGGAAGGTGTCAGGAACATATTTTCACGGTCTGCTTTCTCTTGTAAATGTTCTCTTCCTTGGCCCTCTGCAGACTTAATCCCGGAGCTCCGAGCCCTTTTTGACTGCAGCTCCTCTTGAACAAGATCCTCACCCTTCCTACCCTGATCCACCTTCTGTCGCCGTCGTCGCCTCTCCATAGCCCGGCTCCTTGTCCGACTCCCTTGATGTTCAAGCTTTTCCAGCTGCATTCGTACACACACACACACACACGCACAAGCAGAAAAAGTTCAGGACTGGGATCCCTGCCTGCTGGACCTGATCACCTGCCCTGCCCATGACCCCGCTTCCTACCTCCAGAAGTGTGTGAATCCTCTCTAGGTCTGGAGGCTGTCCAGCCTGCAGCAGCTGCCAGATGCTGTGGTTCTCATCCAAGGTTACCTCGAGCAGGTCCCCTTCCATCATGAGCTCCTCCAGGGGCACCCGGGTTGTCTCAGGCAGCTCCAACACAGGGCCGGTCAACTGCGGCAACATTGAGGACAGTAGCTCCAGGTCTGGGCGGAGGGTGGGGTGGGGGTGCAGGGACAGACTGGGTTAGAGGCCACTCTTTGTCCTATCCTCCACGGCCACAACAAAGCTGACAAAAACACGGGTCACTCGGCGATGTGTAGCCAACAGCCTACCCAAACCATACCTGTGTTATCAGAGCCCTTTGCTGAAGCTTTGTTCTCAGGACTGGTCAAACCATCTCCATTCTCCAGCAGCCCTTGGACCTATCCGGGAAATGAAGAATAATTGAGCTGATGAACCAAGTCCTGTCTTTTCTTTCACAACCCCCAAACTTGGGAGCCTCTATCTCCTGAAGGAAAGTCAACACAGGCTTCCAGCAGGGAGCAGACTCTAGGGATCTGGTCGGGTACAGAATGGGACAAAGAGGCTGGGCCACAGGAGACTGAAAACTGGAGAACTGGGACAACGCTGGATCGAGCCAAAAGAAGGACAGGGGCTAGATGTCAGAAATGTGAGGACAGTGGGTGGCCTGGACAGCTCACCTGGGAAATAGTGTTGCCACTGCCTTCTCTGATAGGGTCACACGCAATGTCTGAAGTGTAAGCAGGGGCCTCCTCTGGCCTGGGTTTGGCCTCTAGCTGTTGGCGAAACTCAGCCAGCTGTCGCAACAGAGTGGTCACATCCTCAGAGGCCAGAGCCTTTCTGGCACGGTCTTGCCAGCCAATGGCCCTCTCTGTGAGACACTGAAGAGCCTCACCCTCAGGCAGCCGGACGGGCAGTCTCTGCAGGGCAACCAGCAAGGCTAGGATTGTCTCTAGGCGTGGCCGTCGGGAGCGCATACACAGTGGACACAGGAATTTTGTGTCCCATTCCCACCAGGCCAGCAGTGGAGATGAGGTGAGGCTGGGCCTTGGAGAGCTCAGGAGGCGGGGCACCGACACACATTGCCCATGGAACCAATCCTGACACAGGTCACACTGAAGAGCTCCCACCCCAGCTGGAACCTGCCCACACACACAGATAGAAGTTGCGGAGCAGGCCATGGGATATGGTGCTAGTGGACTGGGCTTGGCTGAGTTGATACGACGCAGCTGCAGGATACCCTCCTTCTCCTTCTGTTCCCCCTCCTTGAAGGCCACAATCTAACATGTCCAGAAGAGGAGGAAAGTAGGTCAGCAGCCCACCCTTGCCCTTGTCTGGCACCCTAATGCCCGGCTCCTTAACTAGGAGAACAGAAATTTGTGGTCATAGGGCTCAGGCACCCTATCATCACCAGGCCCTCCTCCTTTCAGAGAGATACCCAGAACCCATCTTTGCCCCATCTGGGCCATGCTCCTTACCACAGAACCTGGGTCTCTGAGGTCCTGTGCAGACAGCCCCAGCAGCTCTGTGTCACACTGATACAAACCCAGCTCCCTCTCCATCCACCGGCTACGCTTGGTGCTGTCTGAGCCAGCGTCTGCACATGGGCAGAGCACCTGAGGCAGGAAGGCAGACAGAGAGGAAATGACCAGGCTTCCCTCACCTCCCACACCCTCTCCTTCCTACCCAGGTGCACCCTAAAAGAAACAATGAGAACACATGGACACAGGGAGGGGAGCACTACACACTGGGGTCAGTTTGGGGGAAATAGGGGAGGAACGGTGGGGGGTGGGGAGCTGGGGAG